TATATATATATATATATATATATGTGTGTGTGTGTGTGTGTGTATATATAACATTTCTGTCCCCCTCACTTCTGAATGATGGCTACGCCCCTGTATATAGCGTACACAGTGTAGTTTCACCGAGCAAACAGCAGAGACGGAGAGAAAGGCCGTGGCAGCTGCCAGGATTTGCGCTTGCTCTCTCTCTTTATTTAGGTCTTGCGAAAACAAAACAAAAAACATAATTAGATTATTAAAATGATGCTAATCAACTAGATCACAAACAACTCTAAACAACTGATCTGAAAGATTTAACAAGAGCGGTTTTATTTTATTTTTTCCAAACGTCAACCTGCTCTGGGACTACAGATGAAAGCTAGCCGTTTTGGTTCAATCTGGGACATTTGTATGTGTGTCTGATGAAGATGATGAAGATGAAGATGAGGCGTCTGCTGCTCCTGTGTGTGTTCTGCGCGCTCTCCGGTGAGTCTGGACAAAAGATCAGAGAAAAACTGTGTAAACAATCTCAAAATAAATGTGTGATGAAAAATAGAATTAAACTAAGTCAATAAATTAGTTTTAAAAATGGATTAAAATGTATTTAAATTAACAAAGTTGACTCAAATGAATAAATGGATTAAAAAAAGAAAACAAAAAGTGATGTAAATAGTGAATAAAAAACTATGTAAACAACATTTGATTGAAATACAATAAAAAAACTATGTAAATAACTACATTTGATAAAATAAATACTTAATAAAAAAACCATGATTCAAATAAATTTGATTCAAATAAAATAATATATTAAATAAAATTAATTTAAATTTATTTGTAACATTTATTTTAAATAATAAATAAAACATGTAAATAAATAAATACATTTTGACTTAAATATATAATCTAAAAATAGAGTACTATAAAAAAAGAATGCAGTGATTTAATATAATAGAAACGAAATAAGCATGACCTAAATAAATACATTTAAGTAGAATAAAATAATTTATTCAAATGAATAGAATATGATTTAAAAAAAAGTGCATCAGATTCAAATAAAAAATAAATTGACGTAAATATGAATGCTTCAATCATATATTAATTCGTAAATAATAAAATTAACAAACATGTTTAAAGTAAATAAATTGATTAAAGAAAATGTGTTGTAAATAAATAATAACAATATAAACAAAGCTTTTAACTGAAATAAATAAAAATGTGATTTAAATAAATACATTTGATTAAAATAAATTGCTCTAAGAGTCGATGTAAATAAATGAATAATACAGTTCAAAACAATTCAGAATCAGAAAGAGCTTTATTGCCACGTGTGTTTGCACATACAAGGAATTTGTTCTGGTGACAGAAGCTTCCAACAACAACAACACACAGATAATAACAAATAAAGGGAATAAAATACACATTTGTATGCAGAGCTGTGGTATATAGATGGAAGAGTACAGTACTATAATGAGTAGAAAAGAATGCAGTGATGCAGCGTAATAGAAACAATATTTATTTACACATTTGCAGAGTGTTAACTGGGTATTTAATCAAAGAAATATGTAGCAGGCTTTTAAAGGTGGCATATCATGAAAATCTGACTTTTCCAGGTGTTAAGTGCTATAATCAGGTCCCCGGTGCATCTACCAACCAAGGAAACTTGAAAAAGATTAATGCATTAACTTTGTTTTAGGAAGCCTTTTTCTGCAAGCGTCTGAGAAAACGAGCGTCTGATTTCTCTCACTTGGTGACGTGGCAAAGGGATCTCATTATAATATCACCGCCCCTTAATATGCTAATTTACACCCACGGCGCCGTTATTGTTAATGCATTAACTTTGTTTTGGGAAGCCTTTTTCTGCAAGCGTCTGAGAAAACGAGCGTCTGATTTCTCTCACTTGGTGATGTGGCAAAGGGATCTCATTATAATATCACCGCCCCTTAATATGCTAATTTA